TATAAAGTGGCACTTCCGGTTAGCCGAGTTTAAGGAAAATGTTGCTGTAACATCTCAGTCATATACCTATTATAAATATGCAATATCAGTTTCGTACGACTTTTTATTTTTGAGCTAGACTGTTCACATACACACAGAAATACAAACCATTTTGCAGGACTTGGTTATTTGGACTCAGGGGACCTCAAAACGTGTATTTCCGTTGAAAACTCTGATTCAAAAATTTTCACAATCGCAATAATTTCCCTTACTATATATTGTATAAATAGGTAAGTGAAAGTAAAAATTATAGGAAATAAATCTCTATCACTTTCTACATTTATTCAAACTCTTATGTTTGTATATCTTGTAAAATTTACCTAAATACAGTTACGAGGTTTTCATTGTTTACCATCGATAGATCAAAATTCGTCACACTGATTGTAAGCGGACAATGTTGTGTTACAATGTGGACAAAAATCATAAAACTATTCACCAATTTAATATTCTAAAATCTTAGTTAATGATTTTTTCGAATAAATCGACTTTATATACCTAATTATTTAAATATATTTATCTAAAGTTATTAAATTTCAGTAAATGTATTTAAGGTTGTTAACATATGTTATACTCATTCTTGAAATATTTTCGTAATCCACTTCTTCTTAAACACGATTACAATAAAATAGATTTTAAACAATTTTATTACCTCGATTGAGTGGATTACATAAACATTTTTTTTTCAAAATTAAAAACAATTTGAAAGTTTATATTTATTTCGAGAATTTTATTCAGTTTCCATGGAAATATTTGATTTCCGTTAAATAATCATTTTTTCGTTACTTTTCAGCATCTTCTAACTTTGTATGTTGGATATTGTTTCTGCTTTTTACGATTCTCATCCTTCCAACAATTATACTATATTTTCGTTGGTTTAGAGTCTTCAAAGAATTTGAAAAGTTGGGATTGACCTATTCTTTCCAGAGCTTTGGAGAGATTAGAGAGAATTGAGATTGGGCGGTAGTATTTAGAAGTAGGATTGAAGATTTTGTTAATAGGTCTAAATAATGCTTTTTTATTACAGATTATAATTTCCGAAAATTCATTTTCTACCTAAAAAATCATATTTTTTCTATTTTCTCCTTTAGCCAATTATCATTTTTTAAATTAATTTTTATTGAACCTTTTTTATTACTACTAACAATGGGAGACAGTTAATTATTTAAAATAAATCAATAAATAAATGAAAAGTACTTTAAAGAAAGAGATTTTGAAAATTCGGCATTTGAGTCATGTAGCCGGGAGATCTCCTATTGTAAATACATTTTTAGAGTGCTACCAGTGGGTACTTTCTCAACAAGTGGTTTCATGTTATTATATTCTTGTGTTCATATATACTGAATGTATTTTTATTTGTAATACATTTGTAAATATCATAAATAAAATTTTTAAATTTTTTTTCAAAAGTCATGTTAAGCGACATCAATGAGGATAGGACGGAAATTAAAGATCATTTAATAGTATATTGATGTGCCGAGATTAATTAAAATCGCCAGATCCGTTTTTGAGAAAATGGTAAAAATGTGTAAAATTGTTTATATAAAGTGGCAATTCCGGTAAGACGAATTTCAGGGAAAAATTGCTGTAACATTACAGGTTTATACCTAACTAAAATGTGTAATTTCAGTTTCATACGACTTTTCGTATTTGAGATCGACTGTTCACACACACACACACATAAAATTTTTGGTTCACGAATATACATTACCTTTCGAATCATCCTTCGGATCAACCTTGTACAATTATGTTCCTATCAATATGGCTAACCTATCATTAGCTCTCTCTTTGTGCATCCTCTTCCTCATCAGTCTACCCGGTTTCATAAGATGAATTAAATTCCTACTTTAAATGTTCCTCTACCAGCAATATTTCACCCTCCTCTTACCAGTTTTCCTTATCACACTCATGCAAAAGAGATAATTTCTATTCCTCTTACATTTTTACCTCTGTAATGAAATCCCATACTGTCTCTATCGGATTTGATGGAATGCCCGTCAAACTGTTAAAATTATGGCTTCCAGAAATACCTATTCTTCTTTTCATCTAAAATTTTTCCCCCCAGACCTCAGTTTTTTTAAAGAAAAAAGACATTATTCAGACCTATTAACAAAATCTCCAATACTACTTCTTCTAAAGACTACCACCCAATCTCCATTCTCTCTAACATTTCCAAATCTCTGAAAAGAATAGCTCAATCCCAAATTTTCAAATTCCTTGAAGACTCCAAATTACTCGATCCTCTCCATTTGGTTTCGAGCTGGCTTTTCCACGCAATCGACAAATTCACTAATGACTTACATACTGTAATGGACGAAATAAAGCTAACTGTATCAATACTTTTCGACTTTTCCAAAGCTCTCTATCCTTCTCCAACAGCTCTATTATTTGGTTTCAGCCTTTACTTTCCTATCGGACTCAAACAGTTAGCATTCCGAACCAACCTTATCTTCCTTCCTTAAGCTGTCCTCTGGAATGGCCCATGGTTCGAGCATTTCCCCTCTCCTTTTTAATTCTTAAATAAATGATCTTCCCAATGGTATGTTTATTCTTTAAGCCCTTTAAGCTATTAGTTGCGTTCACCAATAATCAGGTAGACCTACTAGATAGGGTCAGTGCCTGGGCAAGTTTGAATAATTTAACGCTAAACGCGATTGATAACTTGATTGACGTCAATTGTTGTTGAAATTGTTTAAAGTTCAATTTGTAGAATCAACTCATCGTGTTTATAACTTTTTGTTTTTTTTATTTTTTCTGATTTCTGTTTTTCTTTTCATTACAATTATGTTGTTTTTTCAGAATGTTATATTTTATTTTGTTTATATATTGTAACTGAAGATATTCCGTATATTGTTTATTTTTTATTAATGTAGTTTTTGGGCAGATATGGTTTTTTTTTTTTTTTTCATAATTGTTATTCTTAAGGGACCTTATTCCAGAATACAGTCTATTTTATGTCTATCTATCTATTACAAATATAGGTAAGTGAAAGTAATATAACAAAAAGTAAAGTGCTGAAAAATAAATGAAAACAACCTGTGTAAAATCGAAGCCCTTGCCTCCTACAGGTTACTGCTCTGAAAACAGATGATACTAAAACGTGTAGATATTATCGATGGCCTAATGTGCTATGTAAGAATCATATGTTACATATGATATATAGCCCATTGAAAACTGGCATAATCAATAATATTGATGATAAAAAAATTTCCAATCTCAAAATAATTGGCTATTTCAAGCTTTTACATTATATTTACAGTTTTATAATTAGCCAACGAATAAATTTACCACTTTAATTCTATTCTATTGACAGTACTCCTTTAGACATATTAAGGTAGATGAATAAATTTGTTAGATTTCAGAAGAAAAAATAAGTCAAGCTTGATGTCTAGTGGGATTCCCAGGAATATTAAGTTTCATTAAAAAGTGATTAGTCACTGACATATTTTTAGATTACAATAAGAATATAGAAATATAAAGATAGAAAATAGATAGATTTAATAAGTAAGAGTCATTATCATAGCCAATTATGAAAATTTGCTAATAACCTCGGTTTTCTAACTGCAAACAAACATAAATATATATATATATATATATATATATATATATATATATATATATATATATATATATATATATAAATGAAAGAGATGGAATGAAAAGTCATTCTGACGTTATAGTAGTTGTTGTTTTCAACCTAATTATGTATAAGCGAATTGATTTATTGTTTATTTACAGTGAAAATAAAATATTTGCATTTTGATAAAACGTAATCGTATTAGTCATTGGAAAACATTAATGACTCATCAATTTGAATTATTCAGACATCGTGGCAGTTTCTCTATTGATATCACCTTTAAGGATTCACTTTGAAACATTTTACTTTTAACATTGGCAAGGATTTATTTAAATCAGGAAGTCGGTTTTGATCCAAAAGTATAAGAAAAATGAAAGAAGTAGAAGAAGCAGTTCAAGTCAGTGAGTGGGTCATTGATTTGGGACTGACGATCCCAACATTGGAAGATATCCACAACACAACGCAATACTGCTAACGAAATGTCAATTTGGCACCAATACAAACAGTTACAACATTGATTTACCCCAAATTCATTTATAATGAGTCATTGGTAAATACAGAATGCTGGAGTGATGACTGGAGTCTTATGGAACATATAAAACACATGTAAACTAATTTAATTGTTTACGATGTTTTAGACTGATAATTATAATGATTAGTCAAAAATAATATCTATACTCTAATAATTTTTCTTTATCATAACATATCGTTATCCATAAATATACATATAAATGTTCGTTGTAAGAACATCCGAGATCATTTTCACATAGAGAATGGAAAACAGGTTATTTACTTTTAATTTCTTTGATGGTATGTTTAGAACAAGAGCAGAGCAGTGTAATTAAAAAAAAAAAAAAAAGGAATAATAAATAAAATTACACACATATTAATAGTTATAAAACGATATAATAAATTTATAATCAATATAGATTCAAAAATAGGAGAAATAATGCAATGACTGTGTGTTGTGACATATTGCTAACAGATAATACAACTAAACAGTCAAAATTCCTTAGCAGAGAACACTCAATACTTTTATAAATCCCAAGTATGTTATACATTATTTCCACCAAACTCAAATCGTACACTCAATTAATACTATTAAAAGTCAAGTCAACTTGAGGGATCAACTTCTACACCTGAAGAAGGAAAAGAAGTTTCTGCCATGATTAATAAATTTTGATGGAAAAACTCCGGTAGCTACTGTCACACCGTAACAGTTTTTTTATTTAATATATAAATTTCATACCAGAATCCAGATTCAGAGAAATGACATCTAGTGTCAGATAGTTAATAGTGGTAAACCGCTAAAGATTGGAAAATTTCCTAGATCTAGATTGAGACACTGTGTTTGGGAAATAAATGACTGTTAGTAAATTCATCTTACGTGATGGGAAGAGTTGTAGTAGCGAGGAACCGAAAATGCGGCGGATAGCGATATCAAACAGAAGAACCTCCACATGTCTGCTCAGGATGAGGTTAGCCACTAGTGACTGCCTCTTCCCTGTCCCCCCCTACCTGCCCCCCTACCTGCCTCCCCCCTACCTGCCTCGTCAGTTTCCCCTACTGTTCCTTTTCATTCACTCTACAAGTTTCATTCCTATGAGAAGACATAACTGGACAGATTAAGTGACGGCCCTGGAAAAATCTGTCACTACTCAAGTTACACCATTGGAGCAATGACAGTTACCGGTCCAGTGACGGTGACAGTGACAGAAGTCTTCTAGTCCATTCCCTGACTTGATTTATTAGTATTTTATATTTATTAATTAACAGTATTCTTATCCATTATGTTACTTAATTAATTTATATATCGTCGGTTTATAGCAAAAATACATTTCTTAACATTAAATAATTAATCCCTTTACGAAGTCAAAAAATTGTGAGCTTGTTGTAACTGTATTTGATGTATGAAAGGGTTTGTGATATTTGCATGCATTTTTTTTTTAATGAAATTTTTTGTTTTTATTTCTTTATTGAGTATTACAACAATCTGTCTCTTGGACATTGGTTATAGTGAGGTAGGATGACATTCACACTATATGTACAAAAAAAAAAAAATAAATAAATAGAAACAAAATAATAATCAAAAGTATATACAATAGATAATAAAATAAAATAACCTAAAAAGTAAGAAAATTAAAACTAAGCAAAAAAAAAACACATGTATACCTATATACAACCAGGCGAGGGAACTCCAGGAGAACCATGCGCTACTCTCCCAACCGCATCACTGGTACTAAAGCCAGCGGAGATTGATCGAGAGCACTTTAGCCACATACACTCATGTCTTGAGTGAAGAATCTGGCCATTGCCAGATCTCCAATATATACAATCTAAAATAGGTCGCGAGGCCACTGCCGTTTCAACCTGCTTGGAAGATTATAGGGGTGGGAGGTGCTTGATAGGGTTTGTGCAAGAGGATTTGGGTGGTACGTAAGGTTCTGGTGAAATTTGGAGAATTTTTCTGGGATAAGGTCTAGGACAAATGGGATGTTGAGGTCATGATGTAGGGTTTTGTTGGTTACATAGAAAGGAGCATCGACTATTATTCGAAGGACTTTTGTCTGGAAGAATTGGATGCGCTTGATGTTAGAAAATTTTGCTGATCCCCACAGTTCTAGTCCGTAAGACCAAATAGGTTTCAGTATTGTCTTGTATATCAGTAGCTTGTTTTCAATGGAAAGTTTAGATTTTCTGTTTAGTAGTCGGTATAGTTGGCCATATCGTCGGTTGAGTTCTTGTCTTTTGAGTCCAGTATGTGGGTTCCACGTAAAGAAAAATAAAGTCGAAATTCACAAAAAACATATTTAAAAGTAACATATAATATCGAAAATGCACTTAGTGACTATTTGCAAAAAGCTCATGATATAAAAAAAATATTTTTGTGAATATGAAAATAATAATATTACTTGTTTTATTGAACCTCAATATCCACAGAAAATATAAAGTACTAACAGTCTATAAAATAGTATCTTTCATAAATTTTAATTAAAATCTTATCTGTGTTTGATTATTAATAATTGGTTTTCGTAATCGATTCATTCCATTTAACTATTTTATTAGCATTGTAAATAGTTTGATAATTGGAAATTGAGAATAGCCCATTTTAATCACGTCGTTGCGACTCTAGTCATATTCATAATGGCTGCTCTGTACCTGTGGCAGTTACAGTTACCAAGTAGGTCTCACCGTAGGTACTAGGTACGAGTACATAAACTTTATAACTTATTTACGTGGTAAGGTATAAAACCACGGTTAAACAACGCAAATTTTTACCAATCTTGTCAAAAACTGAGATAAATGAATATAAATGGCCCTGTAACTTAGAAATGAGTTCCCTAAGAGGAAAAATCCATAGAATCAAAGCTGAAGAGCATCAAATGTATTGTCTACTGAGTGCTGATAATTTTATTGTAGACCAATTCTATATTTCAATCCGATATTCGTTATTCCTTTATGAAATTCGGTATCTTTCGATATGTCGTTTATCAAAATGCTTCAGTACTGAGAGGTGGAAAAGAGACTTATACTACATGCACTAGCGGATCCAGGATTTAATTTTGGGGGGGCTTCAGCCCGAAAGATTTTTTTTTTCATATACATATAATGATAATTAATTTGAAAAAAAAAAGAAAGAAATTAATTACCTATATGAAATGGTATTTAAGTGGTTCTTAAGTCCTATTAAATATAATTACACGAACAAGAATACTTTAAGAGATAGGTTTTAATATTTTTTTCTATGAAACATGGTTACATTTCACCATTTTGGGGTGGACTTCAGCCCCTGTAGATCCGCCTGTGACTACATGTAACAGATTCAAAACAAAAAAAAAAAAACTCAGTAGAATAGACACCCATACTGTTGAAATATTGAAAGTTACGTTTACTCTCATTAATAATAATTTCTAACCATCGGGTGATTACCTATTTTGTTCGGAGTAAGTGACCAACTTAGTTGGTACTCGCTGAACGCAAAATTTGTGAAAAAATAAATGTTATACAACTTTGATTTTATGGCTTTTTCCTCTTAAAGAACTCATTTCGAAATTACACTGCCATTTGCAGTAATTTGTCTCAATTTTTAAAAATTTTGGTAAAACTCAGCGTTGGTTGAACGTGGTTTTATACCTTACCACGTTACCAAATTATAATGTATTCTTATGTTTATGTATTCTTCCGACGCACAGTTTAACATTCTTTAATTTTTAAAGAAGTACATTTTTCGCTTTGATGCATCTTTTGAGATTTATAGGTAAAAAACAAAAAAATATTGAAAAAATCTGACTTTTTGGCTACAAAATGTTTTCTCTTTGTGGCCCGCGTTAGCAATTTTATTTTTTACATGTCGAAACCCATATAGACAAGTTAAAAAAATCAAAACTTTTCTCACATTTTTCGCAAAGGATTTCCCGTTTCAATCCTATAATAATTAATGACCTAATATTCTTTAAATCAGCCACCATTTTTTAAAGCAGCGCCTCTGGAACGGCAGACAAGGTTATTTTTACTCAGAATAAAATTCACTTTCCTAATTTACCATCAAACCTTCCCCTGCGATGAGGTCGCTGTACTGCTGTAGGTCCCTTTTATCATCGATCTTAGTAAATTTAATCACTGTTTTCTCAGAAAAATTTTGTATACTTCACGATGGTGTTCTTAGAATTTAATTATCTTGAATATTTTTTGAGAAATTCCTTACTATTCAATAAAAAACGTGGCCACCTTACAAAAACCTGATGCTGAGAAGAACTATTCAGATTAGTGACGGAAAACTATGCAAAACAGACAGAGAGGACCAAATAACAGTGCAGAAGCAAAAAGAGGAAGAAAGAGAGTGATGATCTAAAGGCAATAATAGAAAATTTCAAGGATAAAACACTAGAAACTTCTATCATAGTCTAAAAATGCTTAGAAAAAGATTCCAACCACGAATAACTTTCCTTATTTTTTTATTTTTTTTTTGTTCTCCCCTTCGTTGCCTTTTAGCATAATACTACACAGGGTTTTTCCAAGTCCGAAGGAGTGCGAGTTAAATTCCCACCGGGTACCGGGAATTGAATTTGTAATATTATTCAATCTAACTTTAGTTATCAGATTTCCGGAAAACGCGCGGTGATGTGCGCACGCGTTAGCCCATTCGGCCACCCCGACCCAAAAACCTTCTGCAAACACATGGATGAAACTCTACTGGGTGACCGAGAAGAGATCGCTGAGAGAAGGAGAAATCATTTCAGTGAATTACTTAACCCTAACCTAGAAAACCTTCAAGATATTCCAGAAATAATAGAATATGATACGTACCTGGAATCACCCGACACCGAGGAAACGGAAGATATTTTAACTAAATTATACTAATTAACAATAACAAAGCGGGATTCGATGGGATCCCGCCGAGATGCTTAAGTATAGCGGAGAGAGATTGTATCGGGAGATCGGGAGATAATGAGATATGATCTCATTATGGAAATCTGAGACAACGAAGAAAAGCCTAAAGAATGGTGCAAAGCTGTCATTGTTCCAATACACAAAAAGGGCGATAAACAATAGTGTCGAAATTACAGGATGATTACACTACTCTGAACGATTTATAAATACTCACCTATAAAAAGAAGTTATAGCTGAGAATCAAAGTGGGTTTCACCCTGGAAGGTCTACTATTTACCACATTTTTACAATCAGGAGCATGCAAGAGAAATACAATAATTGTAATGTTTATTTACACTATATTTTCATAGAGTACAAACGAGTATATATACATATATATATATATATATATATATATATATATATATATATATATATATATAATAGTTTAGAAAGAATTGAGACCTATGATTGAGATCTTATGTTTTCCTATAAAACTCAATAGGCTGGTAAGGATGACCCTGAAAAACAGTGGAGGTTTAGTATAGGTCCAGAGAGAAGTTTCCAGAGACTTAGTCATTTAAACAGGAGTCAAACAGGAGGATCCCTTATCCCCACTGTTATTTAACATGGTACTCGAGAGGATTATTAGGGCAGATAAAATAAAGGACGAAGGGTGTATTATAATACAATATGACTTAATGTCTACTATATGCCGACGATGTGGTCATAACAGGAAGGAATCAAAATTCGCTCTTAAAGACAGTTTTCGGAATTCGTAGAGGCAGCTAGAAAGGCAGGACTCATAATGAACAAAAGCAAAACGAAATATATGATATCATCCAAGAAAGGCGCAGTAAGTGGATGCATGTAGCGAGGAGGGTGTACTTTTGAAAGTTTGGATTAATTCAAGTATTTTGGTACAATTTCAATCAACGATAACAGAATTGAAGAAGAAATAAAAACGAGGATCGAGAACGGAAATAAAATGTTATTGGTCGCTCCGAAAGACATTCTAAAACAAATAGATACCCCAAATTCTCGAAATAAGGATAAATAAAACAATACTTCGTCCTATTGTCATGTATGGCA